CTACTGCTGGTGGTGATGTCAGCCACCCCTCCTGGACAGTCTGTGTTCCTGTCTCCCCTATTCGCCTTTGGCACTTCGGGAGACCTTATAAGCATCAATTACCACAGCTCCAGACACAACGGAGGCCTCCTCGCCCGAAACGCCGCCAAGCAGATAGTTGGAATGTCAGTTGAGATCGGAAAGAGAAAATTTAACCTCGGTGACATGCTGGGGTCTACTGCAAGAGGATATCAAACAAACTCCGTTTGGGAACAACTGACAAAATCTACCAGAAATGGCGACTTCCCAAACTCTCCCCCAGAAGGTGACCTGCCACTAACTCTTGACCTTAATCAGTTATGGAAGGCTCTCTATCGACCACCTTCTCAATGGAGGATTAAAGACCACCCATAAATACCTGTGACTGTTGTTCTCATGTTACCTGGCAGTGATTAAGAGTACACGACTTGCTGTGGCTGATTCCATTTACTATTGAAAGTACTTATTATGATTGTTTCACTGTCAATATTGAGTACTTATTGCGACTGTCTGATTCCATGTAATTTGAAGAGTCCAAATTTTAACATGTCCACTGCAATAATAAAGTACGAATTTCATTCCAACCGAACTAATATAATGATAATCCTAACATTAGCAGTGTTACATTGACGTACAGAACACACCTTAGCTATAATGACTCACCAGTAAAATAAATAACTTTAAAATGTATATAAAAGTTGTTTATATACCTCTAAAATCATTTCTCTGAATCTAAATATCTCACGCGTGTGGAGATATCAATAACATGAACTGCAAATAACTCAATTACATAACCTGGGGATAAATTAAGGACATCCCTAGTGTTATTGACAGAAACTTGCACATAAATAATAATTAACGGTTTATTGAAAGAGCATGGCAGCCGGAAGGCTGAAAATATACAGTTACATAATTGGGGAATGCATGTCTTGATTTACAAATGATATACAGGTAACATAGGTGATACAAATATGATATATAATAACTTTTACAATGGTTGGGACTGGGCTGCTCTTATAGCAATCAGTTCGTGTTAAAGACTGGATATATACAGTATTTTCCTTAAACATTATTTAGTGAAGGATGACACGTTAAACCCGGGCATTAGGAACCTTCAGTACAGTATACAAATATTAAGAAAATTTACTTTATATTATTTTGAGAGATGTAAAGTGATCGAGTATATGATCAAAATGTGTAAGAGGAGATGAGAGAGAGAGAGAGAGAGAGAAAGAGAAAGAGAAAGAACTAATTACACATAATTATCTCCCATAGGCAAACACTCCCCTCCTCACACCAGAGGTCAGGTCACGTACCGGAGTAATTGACACTCAAGAGATTAGGACGGATCACAATCATCATTAACCTTTGACCTGTGGCTTCTCATTACGGACTTCATCCCCGCACGAGAAGGAGGGATTAATTCACAGGTCAAATTAGGTCTTCAACTGGATGTAAAAAAAAATGGCGATAAAGGACAAAGAGAGACTCAGTTTTTAAATTATTTCTCATATTATAGAACAGATAATAGTATGGCTGAACTTGTGATGTAGTGGCGACACTGTCAGTACTAGACAGGAGCTTACACGGATTACTGACTTCTCGTTCGAGTGCTGGCGCTGAAAGATCGTTTAGTCGGAAGAAACTAATAAAATCTTACCTCCGATGATCCATGTCAACACTTCTTTCAAACTTTGCTTATTCTGAGTACTGAACGGGGATATACACATTGTCAAAGGTGTTCTGCATTGCACAACACCTTTGACAATTGCCAAGATGAAACAGCGGTGCATAGATGATCTTACATAATAAGGTCCCGTAGTCTAATTTCTATGATCCAATATATTTTGTTCTTCCTATCCCAGTAGTAAATAACTTGCTAACTCTCATACAGTCCTATGACAAGTTAGAACTAAATCAATATTTTTATTATGGAAATTTGTCACCTTTTTGCCCCTTGTAAAATAAACTACACTTTTCGCCACACAATGTAAACATACGTGTCAGTGTTGCCACATATATACTGTACATCAAACACGTCAGATGTTACCAACTTATACCACAAAAAGTCCATTAATTAATCTATAGAATACCTGTAGTATAGCCTGTCATAATATAGACAACGAACACCTATAGTATAGTTAATCAGGGCAATATATTATTCATCTTGTGAACCATACAAGTAGGATAGGTTAGGTTAGTTTAGTTAGAGCACCAGCAGGAGTAATAATTCGTTGGGTTAGCTTAGGTTAGGTTTGGAAAATAAAACTTTTTTTATGCTAGCAGCAAAGTTCACCAATTTATTTGCAAATCAATTAATATTTTCTGGTCAAAATAATTCTAAATGTGCCAATAAGTTTAGATAATAGTGCATACATACCGTTTTATTTTATATAATTCTCAAAGACGGAAAACAAGTGTACAGTACCTTTGTGGATATTTATTGAATATTATTATATAAATTGTAAGCCAGCAAATTTCAGTTTTAAGTAATGATGATTAATATGTTACGAACCACGCCATCAATTGTCATGATCTACCTACCCAGCACTACGAACCACGCCATCTATTGTCCTGATCTACCTACCCAGCACCACGAGCAACGCCATCTAGGGACGAAACCCGATTATGACTACTTTTAGTTACCACTCCGGGGTTTCCTTTCTCCATATCCTGGTTGTTGCGTCACCTCCTCAAAGTCTTCTTCATCAGCTCCAGTTCGATGAGAGTTCAGTTCACTCTGGGAAGTGACCACAGGATCACCTATCCTGGAAACCTACGGCACAGTGACTACCTACCGTCTTCTACAATACTCAGCCATCTCAGCTCCGCACTTAAGTATTTGTAATCTTATATTGCCTCCCCGCCTCCACCTTGCTTCAAATTGTTGTATGTTGTATAAAAATATATATACTGCTAATGTTTAGGTTAAGTAAGGTTAAGGGTAAATTATAGAAAGCTGAATATTTTCTTAAGGAATTTATGGTACTTATTATACACAACAAAAACTCGCATCCTTTGTCTACCCTTTTATAGTCCGATTGTCTTTGTTTTTTTATTGTTGTTGCCTGTTGGGATCTGGGTAGACTTTAAACTATATTATAAATCCCCAACTCGTAACAAATACGACAGTAAAATTTGTTTAGGGATGAAGCTAAAGTATCTAATATAGGCCTACAGTTTGTTTGAATTCCGAAAATACTGATGTCACAAGTTTTTTGCCAATTAATTCTCTAGAAATTCATAAACATGACTTAGTTTTTTTGTCTAGTAAAACAAAATATAATTAGTTAATGAAAATGCGCACTTTTAATGGAAATTAACTAATTTATCAAGTTACATATTTAATTTTCTCCTTCACCCTCTTCTTTTTCAGTTATGGTCACTGTCGTTGTTGTTGTAATTCCTCGCTATCGTTATAACTGTTATGTCGTCCTTAGCTGGTAAATCACCCATTCTTAGTCATGGTCACAAAAGATATGGTCGTGTTGACAGTACATCAAATGTTCTTCCTCACAGATAGTGTTCTTGTTGTCCTGGCAGCAACTTTATAATCTTAGCTGTGAGGAGAGCAGCTGAGTTCTCGACGCTTAGCATATATAGTAGTCATCAATTATTAGCGATACCAGTTGTAAGACTTTCAATTTTACAGATGGTTGGAAATTTCCTGAATCAATTATAGCAGATAGCATCCGATTGCATCTAGAGAAAAGCAAATTAATCTACGACTCTCAACATGGGTTTACGAAGGGAAAATCTTGTCTAACAAATCTGCTGACGTTTTTTAGGAAAGTTTTCGAGGTAGTAGATAATGACGAAAATTATGATGTTATTTACTTAGACTTTAGCAAAGCATTTGACAGAGTACCGCATCAGAGGCTTCTGAGAAAAATTAAGGCTCTTGGTGTCGAGGGGAAAGTTTTACATTGCATAAAATCATGGCTCACCGATAGAACGCAGAGGGTCAGCGTAGATGGTGTTAAATCTGAGTGGGGCCGTGTAACCAGTGGGGTTCCCCAGGGGTCAGTACTAGGCCCACTCTTGTTCATAATCTACATAAACGATCTCGATACTGGGATGAGCAGTGACATAAGCAAGGTTGCTGATGACACCAAAATAGGGAGGCAGATTAACTCAGGGCAGGATGCAAATGCATTACAGGAGGATCCAAATAAACTGCAGGGGTGGTCTGAAAAATGGCAAATGAAATTCAACACCAGCAAGTGCAGCGTACTTAATATTGGAAGAACAAATACTGATAATGTAAACAGCCTTAACAACATCAAGCTAGAGAAGTCGACTTGTGAAAGAGACCTAGGGGTACTTGTAAGCCCGGACCTACGGCCTAGAAAACAGTGCGTTAATGTTCGAAATAAGGCAAACAGAGTACTGGGTTTTATATCTAGAAGTGTAAGTAACAAGAGTGCAGAGGTCTTACTGCAACTATATCTTGCGCTAGTCAGGCCGCACCTCGATTATGCGGTTCAGTTCTGGTGCCCTTATTATAGAATGGATATAAATTCACTAGAGTCGGTGCAGCGAAGAATGACAAAAATGATTCCGGGACTTAGAAACCTTCCATATCAGGATAGGTTAAAGAAACTTAACTTGCATTCCCTAGAAAGACGAAGAGTGCAGGGAGATATGATAGAAGTATTTAAGTGGGTGAAAGGAATCAATAAAGGGGATATAGATAAAGTTCTTATAATATCCGAGCAGGATAGGACTCGGAGCAACGGATTCAAGTTGGATAAGTTAAGGTTTAGGAGGGAGATAGGAAGAAACTGGTTCACAAATTGGGTGGTGGACGAGTGGAACAAGCTTAGCAGCTTTGTAGTAAGTGCGGGAACTCTGGAAAGTTTCAAAAGGAGGCTAGATACATTCATGGATGATGGAGAGTGGTAGTAACTCTCGACAGGAGCTGCCATGCACAGGCCAACCGGCCTATTGCAGACTCCTTATTTTCGTATGTTCTTATATACTGATGATTCCTCGTGGGCTCAGGTGATATTTTGCTTGTCCTCAGAGGAATGCATAAGGCGAGATTCTTGGTCTAAATTCTAAAGTATAAATAGCCGAGAAAACACGGGTCGTAAACGTCCATTTTGTGAATATTCCAAATAAGATGGTCCTTAGCCGTTCATTGTCAGTCATGATTCTTCTTGTACTTAAAACAAAAGTGTGCCTGCAAAAATTTTAAATTAGCGTGAAAATATGATACCTTCTGTTGTAGAAAAATGTGTCATTATAACAAGTCCTAATTTACCCAACATCTGTGATAGCGTTAATACTAGACAGCCACTTACTCTGGACGCAGCACGCGCAGCCACCGTCACACATATTCATTACTACTTCACCAGCTTCACACTTAAGCTTCCTGCAGGTCCCATTTACGGCTTCCTGCAACAATAGATGAGTGTTAGAATATGTGACACTAAAGACCGACTGTCGCCATGTGTACTGACGTTGTGTGTGTGTAGTTCGTTTTTTATTTTCTCTGTATTTTAAGATTCGACTCCAACTAATTTCGCTTGTAGATTTGCCCCTTCAGCTTATTTCGCCTCCCCAGCTTATTAAACTCGAATATTAACCACCCTAGTGTTAACTCAACCTAACCAAAATTAAGCTAAACTAATCTAACGAAACCTAACCTAACCTAAGCCCCCCCTCAGACAGCTTTTGGGTGGTTACTCTTCACGTAATTCTTTCTAGTAGAGTACAATAATGATCATGTAAGTGTTAAGTGCATTCAAGAGTTCGTGTATAAAGGTGTTACTATATGTATCTCACTGTCCTTAAGGTGAAATAAGCTGGGAGACTGAATCTTAAGATGAAATAAGCTGGGAGACTGAATCTTAAGATGAAATAAGCTGGGAGACTGAATCTTAAGATGAAATAAGCTGGGAGACTGAATCTTAAAGGTAATCCCAAAAAACCACTTATATTCTTACCTTCGTTCCTACAGGTATATGTTCGCATACAGTGCCCTCGCATATTATAGGAACTGAAAACGAAAAAAAAACATTAAAATCAGATGATAACAAGCCAATATAAGAAAAATAATACTCTAGGTAGATATAGTTTAAAAAGAATAGTCTGTTTACAAATGTGAAGTTAATGTTGTTATAATGTTATTAGTTTAGTTCAACAAGGAATTTCTTTAAGTACGTAGCTTGGTTAGTAATACACAAGTCCAACAAAGATAAAAAAATAAGAGATGGAACTCTGTGCAATGTATACAGCAGTGACAAGAATAAACAATACTAGAAGCCGCTATATGGAGCATCTACATAAATCTAATTCTTGAGTGTAAAATATAATTACTTGGAAAAAAATCTTTAATTATCCAAACTACGTAAAAAATGTGTTTTAATAATAACAACAGCAAGAGGGATCACATGAAGATTATACGCCCCAGTTTATTTACGGTAAGTTAGGTTAGCGTTCGGGTGATTAATATTCAGGTGAAATAAACACGGGTGTGATGATCTTCAAGTGATCCAATAACAGTAATTAAGGTATATCATTACTCACTTGGTTGGCAACACACACAGTCGTTCTCACCACAACTCATATTCAGATTCTCCTCATTTTCTGTGCAGTTGTTGTGCCTACAGATACCATCACAGTCTAGGGTGAAGGAGAAGCACATTTTAAAAGGTAAACAAACATATGTTTTCTATAGGCACTTGTATATAATTTACATTTTCAGCAACACTTGATAATTATGGTGTCTACTGCAGTTCACAGATAAATGGTACATAATTAGTATACAAAGTTAGCTATTTATATTATTGCAGATGTATACTGTAGGTATGTATAAATTGGATCCATAAAATATACCTTATTTTAAATCATTATCTTGAACAATACAGGTTGTAATGAAGTTTTTCCTATTATAATTTACTATAGTAGTATATTATCCTCCATGGTGTTAACTACGTAATGTTTTTTCAATTACTATTATTGTATTTAATACTTACCAAATAGTCTGTCCTGTTACAGAACAATACTGAGTTAAATGAATAGACTAACATCAGAGCTGACCTTCCCGTCCTCCCTTTCTTCACGTTCCTTCCCTCCTTTCCCCCCTACCTCCCTCCTTCCTTGTATACTTAAACACTCCCGGGCGCGTCCTTATGTGTATGTGTGGGCGTGCCTTATATACATTAGCTTGTTAACGTTATACCTTATATTTTTTACATTATAAACATGTATCGTATCCTACAGTGTCCTATAAATATGTACGATATAGTTGTTCTTACCAAAAGTATCCGGGTTATCTGTACAAATATCCTGGGCCTGTTGGTCAAGAAAGAAAATTGTTAACATAATCTTTAAAATGTACAGTATATAGTTTTAGATATTATTGGTACTATATATCTTTACCTATAATTCTATGCTATATAATTACTTTTTAATAGAAAACTATATTCTAAAATGAATACGACGACAATTAAACAACGGAGCACCTTAGCTTTCGTCTTTATTGAAGACATCTTCAGAGGCAACTGGATTACATGGACAGAGAGAGGCTTAAATATACAGGGTGACCTTAAAAACATGAGGTCAGGTCATAATGATGTCATCCACTAATCCCCACACCAACATACACGTAGAGGAGCTTAAGAGATGGGGGGGGAGGGGTGACGTGACTAGTCAGGTCAAAAATAAGGGTCCCACTAAATAACTATCATACATCTAGATCAAAGGTTTTCAAAGCATTCCTAACCTTGGGCCACTGACAAATAAATTTATATATATATATATATATGAGAACAATACACCAGAAATTCTTATTGCTTATAAAAAAGAAAATACCCAAACTTTCAGAAATTAAAATGTTCGCATAATTAAACAGCATATGAAAAACATTTAGATAATTTGCCAACGCTGAGTTGAGTAGATCGCCGTATAAGGTTGCAGACAACTAGGTTATCTATCACTCGGTTCTCTCACCATAGCGTTCCCGATGATGGTCAGAAAGAATGAGAGCGCCAGACCTCCCAACACCAGAGACAGGATCTTGGTTGACATCTTGAGCTATCACACACCGTACGAAGGCTTCAACCAGACCTGTAACATTGTATTGGGGACTTTGTACACACGCTAGCCTAATATTATGTAGGTAATGACGTAATTATTGTAGAGGAAAAATGGGGAAGTGTGAGAAAAGTGAAGCTTTGAGTCAGCACCTCTGACGTTATATGACTGTGGACAAGAGAGGAGGTTCGCTGCGAGAAGTTTTGTCTTTGAGAATGATTGTAATATTGCGTTTATGTATGCAATAGTAATTATTCCGGACGAAAATACAATTTGTTACCATTTTGTGCAAGCTAACATATGCCACAGTTAGCGAAAAAATATCTACTTGAGGGAAATACACTGAAGGTTTTCTTTCTAGCACTTTTCTCTATCTTTGCGGTAAAAAATACTAACTTGTTGTTGGTGATGGGTGAGATGGAGGGAGGTAGAGTACTCGTACAAGCGTAAGTTGATGTAAACTGTGGCTGTCTCTCTGCTTCTACAGCTTTTAAAGCTTGTTGGTGGCTCCCAGAGTTCAGACAGCTGCACCACGTCACGTTAAAGCCAGCACAGGTGTTTGTTGGTATTGAACATGACTAACTTATTGACTAGTTCACTCCATCAATGTAGGTCATTTGTAGCGTCAGTCAACTTCGAGAAAATGTTTTATCCTCGTACCATTAAAGTGATATATATTAAATGGAGGTCTTTCATGGGTCTCTGCTATTATATATCATAAGTGTATTGGATTAAAAGAGCTTTTTAATGTTCAATAGACTAAAAGATTATAAATTTCTGGTTATTTGAAACATATAATATTATATAAACACACTTAACACACAACACAAACATACTAACACACAACACAAACATATCATACAAACATACTAACACACAACACAAACATATCATACAAACATACTAACACACAACACAAACACTAACATATCATACTAACACACAACACAAACATATCATACAAACATACTAACACACAACACAAACATAAACTAACATATACAAACATACTAACACACAACACAAACATATCATACAAACATACTAACACACAACACAAACATAAACTAACATATACAAACATACTAACACACAACACAAACACTAACATATCATACTAACACACAACACAAACATATCATACAAACATACTAACACACAACACAAACATAAACTAACATATACAAACATACTAACTAACATATCATACTACTAACACACAACACAAACTATACACACATACTATCATACTAACACACAACACAAACATATCATACAAACATACTAACACACAACACAAACATAAACTAACATATACAAACATACTAACACACAACACAAACATATCATACAAACATACTAACACACAACACAAACATAAACTAACATATACAAACATACTAACACACAACACAAACACTAACATATCATACTAACACACAACACAAACATATCATACAAACATACTAACACACAACACAAACATAAACTAACATATACAAACATACTAACACACAACACAAACATATCATACAAACATACTAACACACAACACTAACACACAACACAAACATATTATACAAACATATTAACACACAACACAAACACTAACATATCATACAAACATACTAACACAACACAACACTAACATATCATACAAACATACTAACACACAACACAAACACTAACATATCATACTAACACACAACACAAACATATCATACAAACATACTAACACACAACACAAACATATTATACAAACATACTAACACACAACACAAACATATCATACAAACATACTAACACACAACACAAACATATTATACAAACATATTAACACACAACACAAACACTAACATATCATACAAACATACTAACACACAACACAAACACTAACATATCATACAAACATACTAACACACAACACAAACACTAACATATCATACAAACATACTAACACACAACACAAACCCTAACACACAACACAAACACTAACATATCATACAAACATACTAACACACAATACAAACACTAACATATCATACAAACATACTAACACACAACACAACACTAACATATCATACAAACATGTTAACACACAACACAAACACTAACATATCATACGCACATACTAACACACAACACAAACACTAACATATCATACGCACATACTAACACACAACACACAACACTAACATATCATACAAACATACTAACACACAACACAAACACTAACATATCATACGCACATACTAACACACAACACAAACACTAACATATCATACGCACATACTAACACACAACACAAACACTAACATATCATACAAACATACTAACACACAACACAAACACTAACATATCATACGCACATACTAACACACAACACAAACACTAACATATCATACAAACATACTAACACACAACACAAACACTAACATATCATACAAACATACTAACACAAACCCTAACACACAACACAAACATACTAACAGAACACTAACACATACACTAACATACTAACACACATAAAGGCATACACTAACATACTAACACACATAAAGGCATACACTAACATACTAACACACATAAAGGCATACATTAATATACCAATGAACTCTGTAAAATTAAATATTGGTGAGAACTTAGTACACATGGACAGGAATAAACACACATACAAAGTTAGTTAGTTTATTCATTAGGAAGCACACATACACACACATATATACTTACACACACAGAGATACCGACAATATATAGTATACACATACACAACTAGCCACACAGAAAAATACGCATGCACACATAATTATATGCACATATACAGTATACAGAACAGTATATAAAACTATACATCAGCATCATATAAGGATAGACTTTTAAAACATGAATAAATAATAATACCATTATCTTCATAGTACCATTAAGCTGTACTGTATTTATCTTATAAACATTTACTAAAGCCATCATCTGTATTTAATCTTATTCACCATCTGCTGCATAATTCTTTTAACATGTTACAGTTCTCACCCTCACCATACTGTACAGTCAAGGGAAGAAGTCCTGTCAGTTGTCCATCCCATCCATGAATCCTGAGACTTACGAACCTGTGAATCCGAGACATCACACAGTGCACCATCTATGAGCCCAGGGATAAATGATGTCTCGGGTTCATAAGTCTCAGGATTCATGGATGGGACAGAGGACTGACAGGATTTTTTCCCATGACTGTGCAGTACAGTCCTTCATTCAGTGACACCCATTTTATCGTGGCTAAGAATATTTAGAGTGAAATAGATTTGGGGGGTGAAACTTTAGGTCATCCAACTTTTCTAACAAGAATTTCATCTTGAAAATATTTATTATGAATGTATTAACGGGGCTCTCTCCCTGTTGAATAAAGACCTCCTCATTACCGACTTATCTCCGTAAAAGGGGAGTTATTTCACAGGAGGGTAAATTAGGTCAAAACCCAGTGCTGTAAATATGTCACCAGGGAGGGATTAACTGAGGGGGGGAGCGGTAGGCGGCCAAGCTTAGAGGAGAACAGCTTAATACTACAACAGAGTATTATTATTGTTTAAATTTAATTAGTGTTGTGTCGGGAGTTTAAATTTATAATATAAAACTACAACTTTAAAGGGGAAAATTATTTAACTCGACCGACAGACAGCAGCGTGGTAACAGCCAGATGGCCGCGGGTCACATACGAGAAACAATGGTTGACCTCGGCCTAATGCCTTCGTCCACATCCCCGCCCAACCCTTTTAGGCTACAGGTGTTCTCTCCTGTGACCTAAGATGACCGCTGATGATCTCTTAAAACACACACACACATCTGAACCAATCAAAACACTGACCAGTTAAGCTCCACCCACACTGACCCCATTATAACCAATCATCATCTACTGTCCTGTCAGGTGACCTCAGCTCAAAAATACATATGTAAGCTGACATATAAAGCCACATAATATAGATATAATGACTCTCTTCATATATCGCCCAGTATCCACACGATATACACAGCCCCACACAGCTCAGAATGAAGTCTTGTAAGATTCTTCTACTTGTTATTGTCGCTGTATCACTGTCCGAGTCTATGCCAGTCTTCTATGAAGTGGCTGTTACTGGGAATGTTCGCTTCAGACCCTTCACTGTTGAGTATATTGAAGAAGATGACCCCGTCAGTGTGAATTATTCCAACTATGTATTGAGGCCTTTGAGAATCCTTGGTCAGCTGTTGGTCACAGCCGGGCTCGCTGCGTTGAGGGAGTAAAGGCCGCCTTCTGACATTCATACACACACATACACTCATACTCACACACAAACACACTAAAACATACAAAACACATCACAAACATACATACAGACACACGTACATACACAGTACCGTCGTCTTCCTTGAGGCTAACTGACAATTTTTTCTACCACTGTCCGACTCATCCTGGCGATCAACAGGAGAACAGCTCTGGCAATCAACGGGAGAAGAACAGTTCTGGCGATCAACGGGAGAAGAACAGCTCTGGCGATCAACGGGAGAAGAACAGTTCTGGCGATCAACGGGAGAAGAACAGATCTGGCGATCAACGGGAGAAGAACAGTTCTGGCGATCAACGGGAGAAGAACAGCTCTGGCGATCAACGGGAGAAGAACAGTTCTGGCGATCAACGGGAGAAGAACAGCTCTGGCGATCAACGGGAGAAGAACAGTTCTGGCGATCAACGGGAGAAGAACAGATCTGGCGATCAACGGGAGAAGAACTCAAGCATCGATCAGCGGAATGACCAGTCAAGGCAACAAAAGTGGCCACCTAGTGAGACCAGCCTTGGGGACAGATCTTTATGTACCGCACTGTATATATTTTCATTAAGGGATACGTGTATGGCTATTGTAATAAATGAAACTTTTCGAGCTGTTGTCTTTTATTATTATTATCATAGTAGTAATGATGAAAGCCACTGTAAGGCCTCTCACAGGTGTGATGCCTTGTGGTGTGTGGTCACGTCAAGAGAACTGGGAGAGGTTGAGGTTGGCTGGTGTCAGATTACCACACAACACTGAGCCTTAAGCTTACCACACAGCACTGTACCTTGAGCTTATATATATATATATATATATATATATATATATATATATATATATATATATATATATATATATATATATATATATATCATGTAAATCCACAACTGGATTACATGGACAGAGAGAGGCTTAAATATACAGGGTGACCTTAAAAACATGAGGTCAGGTCATAATGATGACATCCACTAATCCCCACACCAACACACACGTAGAGGAGCTTAAGAGAAGGGTGGTGATGACTATATATATATATATATATATATATATATATATATATATATATATATATATATATATATATATATATATATATACTGTATATATTATTGGTAGTTCCTATACGTCCTCTTTTATGATCACCCGTGACTCGCATGTCATGGTTGCCTCTCGGGAATTTCTTTAATGTGTAGAAGCTGTTACCAACAACAGAGTAAAAACAAATCCAGTTTCACTCTCCCGAGGATCGAA